ATAGCCTATATTTGGGTGGCTCCATGTTCGCAATTGAAGCATCGCGTTTTCTTAACCATAGACCTGCAGACATCACAGTAGTCCTATTTGGAAGGCATGCTCCCCTAGGGGTGCCTCACCCTAGGAATTGGGGCCCCTGGCCTGCAAAGTTCCCCTCAGGATGGCATGAGGGGTTCACCGGCTTTTGAACAGTTTTTAATTTTTTTTTTTAATGTATCGATGGTGATTTAAACCAGACGATCTTCTCTATTTCCATAGAGAAGAGAGCAGAACGTCTAAGATACAGGTGGTCCTTGACTTACAACAGTTCATTTAGTGACCGTTCAAAGTTACAACTTCACTGAAAAAAAGGGACTGACCGTTTTTCACGCTTACGACCATCGCAGTATCCCCTCCCCATGGCCACGTGATCAAAATCCAGATACTTGGCAACTGACTCGTATTTATGACGGTGGCAGTGTCCCCGGGGGTTGTGTGATCCACTTTTGCGAACTTCTGATGATCAAAGCCCCGGGGGAAGCCAGATTCACTTAACAACCGTATTACTAACTTAACAACTACAGCGATTCGCTTAACAAATGGGGCAAGGAGAGTCGTAAAATGGGGCAAAACTCGCTTAACGACTGTCTCTCTTAGCAACATAAATTTGGGGCTCCGTTATGATCGTACGTCGAGGACGACCTGCAGTTCTGATCCCTTCCCCCCTCAGGGATTCGCACTGAGCACTCGAGGAATTGCACACCAATTTAACAATCTCTTAATCATCTGCTTGAACTTGGAAATGCATTTTCATAAAGATGATGTCATGCATTAGGCATCAGCCATGATAAATACAAAATGTGTGACTTCTTGCTCTCTCTGTGCTAATAATTACAGTCATTATGCATGTCTATATAGTAGAACGTCTCGGTGGACCCGATACTTTCAAATAGATGCGCACGGAATCTTTTATCATCCCCTCCCAAAAGCTGCTCTCTATTTTGACTGATTAGTCACCTAATTAAAGCAATTGCTTCTAGTAGTCGTTCTCTCCCCCCCCCCCCCCCCCGAGTGTAGAATCAGATTGACACCTTACAATTTTTCTCCTTCTGTGTTCTGTGAATTTAATAGCAGCCTGATGCCTCCATGTTTGTTTCTAGGCTTTTCCATATTAGGGGGAAAAAAACACCTCCTGTTAAATAGCTGTGGGTTAAGTCTTTAAAAATTCAAAAGCAGGATGAGAACAGCAGCCAGAGTAAAAATGGAAACGTTTGTGAAACCCCCCAAAAGTTCAGTTTTCTAAGGATTTCAGATTTCATTCCGTTAAATTTGTAGGCTGAGACTCTGCAACAAATAATTCAGTTTTCAACAGAGCTGTGTACAGATAGTCCTTGACGTACAATAGTTTGTTTAGTGACCGTTCAAAGTTACAACGGCACTGAAAAAAATGTGACTTACAGCCGTTTTTCCACAATTACAACCTTTGCAGCATCCCCAGGATCATGGGATCAAAATTCCGAGGCTTGGGATATGGATTGTTTATGAATATTGAATGTAATTAAGATATGTATAAGCTGAAAAATTATTGATAAATGTAATAATGATGTTTTTATTGAGCTGATATAATTAGAAATGTACTAGTTTGAATACAAAACAGTAAATGTTAAGGGAAAAAGAGAAGAAATATCTGATGTTGTAACCTGAGATTTGCACTAAAGATTTTGTTATTGAACTATTGATTAACCCAGTCACCACGTTGCTTTTTAAATACTCAAATGTAAAATTGGAAAATTAATAAAATATTATAAAAAAAAAATTCCCACGCTTGGCAACTAGTTCCTATTTATGTCCGGTTGCTGTGTCCCAAGATCACGTGATCCCCTTTTGCAATCTTCTGACAAGCAAAGTCAATGGAGAAGCCAGATTCATTTAACAGCCAGATTACTAACTTATCAACCGCAGTGATTCACTTAACAACTGTGGCAGGAAAGGTTGTAAAATGGGACAAAATAAATGTTTCACTTAATAACAGAAATTTTGGGCTCAACTGTGGCCGTAAAGTCTAGGATTACCTGTATTCACTGATTCCCAGGGTGGTTATTAGAGAGAGCTGGCCCTAAACGTAGTTACCTTCCCTTGAAGCAACAAGCAACATCAAAAAGAGGTTTCTACAATCGTCAACTGAATGAATTGTGCCTATGCACAGCTGTTGTGATCACATTATGTTCACCGTTCTCCCATTTCACTTTTTTGGGGGGTTTGGCCTTCTCATTGTGGTTTGGCTGCTGCTGCAAACACCTAACATTTTACAAACTGACTCTTAACCATGTATAGTGCATGCCAATTAAACAGTTTCTCCCTGATGAAGGATTAAAGCTAGATCTCCAGTATAATTTCCCACCAGATAGGAAATCTGTACCTCTCCAGATGTCATTTGACTCTACCTCTACTTAGCCTTATTCCAGATGGCAAGTCATTGGGGATTATGGAACAGTAGCCCAATGTTTTCTTGAATTGTATATAGATGTTATCTCTCTTCTCTAAAGATTCGGGATGAAGTGGAAAGGAGCAATTTTCAACCATCGGGACTAAACATTGGGCATTTGCAGGACGCCTCTGTGTTATAATTTGAAACAAAATGCATCAAGGAGGCCTGAACAAAATTTTTAATTTACCTAGGAATGTTTCAGTTTATTTCCACTTATGGCATCTGCAGAGATTCCACATTTTAAAATTCAAAGGAAACCTCATTTCTGTGCATGTTGGTAGGTCAAAGCAAGTGTAACTGAATTTTAATCTGGGAAGCACAGATTTGTTTCTGGGTTCAGCTGCTGAAATTCCCCGAGTTTTATTTCATTTGCAAGTCTTTATTAAAGCACCCACATTTAAAACAGCAGTCCTTTCCTAGTCCACCGTTGAATATGGATTAATTTCAAATCTCTTCAGGATACTTGGGGTTATGAATAACCACCAAAATAGTAGCCAGATTATATTGTAAATCAGGAAGTTAGGGCGAGTGAGAGATAAAATTAAGGTAGCTTAGAAGATCAAGGAAGCCTTGATCTGAAAAATACCTAATATAGGAGAACAACAAGGACCCAAGAAGGAGAATCAAGAGGATAATGAAACTTTCGGAAAACAAGTTGAGTGAAGCAGTGCTAAACTGATTAAGATGAAAAAGTAATTCACATTCTGATCATTACTTCTTCATAGAAGCATGGATTGAGAAAATTTTCATCTTAAGAAACTGGGAGAAAAATGGAATTCTAAAGGCAGAAAACAATCCAGGCATTGAAATTTCGATATTATTATTTCTTAACCACTTTCAATGAATCTTGGTATAAAGAAAACCTCTGGATGATCTTGTGGCTATGAAGCAGCCCGGGAATTGTACTGTACAAAGAGGTTTTGTACTGCTGTTGGTTATAAGTGTTACAAAAAGAATTATTAAACATTACAGATAGTCCTCGACTTACACAGTTCATTTAGTGACCACTCAAAGTTACAACAGTGATTTGTAGCCATTTTTCACACTTACAACCATTAGAACTTCCCCATGGCCTCGTGATTTACATTTGGATGCTTGGCAACAGGATCATATTTATGATGGCTGCAGTGTCCCGGGGTCATGTGATCACCTTTTGTGACCTTCTGGCAAGCAAAGTCAATGGGGGAAGCCAGATTCACTTAACAACT